ATAACAATTGATTTTATTATAGTAATATAGGGAGAAACGCAGTCTTGGTCCCCCATATTTGGTTTATGTGCTAAATTGATCCTTAACATTTTGATCAAAACAAAGGTAGTACCTGAATCTTTTGATTTTAGACAAATTCATGACAATTAACAAAAAAATCATGATAGGTAACTACCAAAATCATATTGCCATTAGTATGCAATTCTAACTTGTATTTGTGATCTCTAACCTCTGGAGTTTCTATCAATATGATTTCTTAGATTTTAAATATATATATAGTTATGGTTTTAAATAAAATGAATTGTGAATTGAATTACTTCTGTGACAATTATGTTCCCAGATCCCTATAAATATTTGTTAAAATGATTTATAATCAACATAACACTACTGTAATTTAATTTAAAGAGCGCCTTTTTTTTTATGAATTATATCAAAATAACAATCTTAGACGATATATAGCACGAGAATTAGTTGAAAACAAAAGACAATACTAATTTTAACACATGACTTTTTTATTCTAATTACTACTATTAGACAACGTCGTGCATGACTTGTCCTTGTAGCAGGTTTCAAATCACTGCAAGGGCATGTAATCAAAATAATTAGTGAAGATAATTACTGATCTTTCTTTTGTTATTTCATTTTTATACATGTGTTTCCTTTCTATTAAAATTTAATAATGAAGTTTTTTAAATAATGCCTCTAATGCTCGTGTGCAACCAGTGGGATCATCTGCGCAATCACCAGGAGAAGGACTTTTATTGCTGTTAAGATATAAATTTCATACATGACAATTGGTCTTCGAGTAGAGTCTATATATATATTGATAAGTTTGTTGAATATTCTATTAATTATAACAAGGCACCTATTTCGTGCATATCATAGTAGATAGCCAAATTATTACAGTGCAAAACAATAAGTGAATATATTATGCCAAATTTGAGATCAAATATGCAAATAAGAAGAAAAGATATAAGAAATTAGTGACACAAACAAAATGAAACAAAAAATATATAAAAAAAAGAAGGGAAAAAGTTTAATAAGCTTTTTCCATGTTTTTTATTCTCAAAATTAAATGATAAACTGTTCAAATGATAAACTGTTTAATTATAACTTAATACAAAATACACTCAAATGCACCTTAGTGCACATCTAATATAATTTTGATCTAATCTTTTTTCTCATTTTCATCGTATTTATCATTTGAGGCTCAAAGAATCGTAAGAATTCAAAGTAAAAAACGTCAGGGGATCAAAAGTGAAAATTCAGAACTATTGACTAACAGCAATTTGATTTTGACTGCCAGTGGCTCTTAAATTCGCCGTCATTGTCTCTGATTTACTAGCTAAAGGCTGAAACTTTGGGATCACATTCGTTTTGATCGAAATATTATGCACCAGAATTAGTGTGTAAGTTAAATATTGGGGACCAAATTGCATTTCTCAATACTTATGCTTCCAACTAGTACGAGTTCCCTCCTCGTTAATTTAATTTAATTTAATAAAAAAAAAAAAAACCAAAAGGGAGGAAGATCACATGTGGACTTCCGATTCCAGGTCTGACCGGTGACGCTGCCTTCTGTCCATTCCGCCCGCCCAGCAATCCTGAATCAATAATTCATCATCACCATCCACACTGCTCCTCCTCCAGTCCTCCTTCCTGTTTCTGGGTTTTAAACAATTGATTATTCAATACAGTGTTGTGTTGCCTGGCCTTCAACTACTTCTACTGCCTCCTCCTCCATTTGCGACGTCGGTCCACCCTGCGACTCTCGCAATAAGGTTTTTCTTAAAAAAAATGAAAGTCAATTCCCTACCGACCAACAAGTCTTTGCCAATTATAATTCCATTTTCTTTCCAATTTCTTTATCTGTCCTTTTTCCAATCTCCCCAGGATCCCTCTTCTCCCATTGCTTAATTTCAGGTAATTCCTCCTCTTTTCACCGTCTCTATTTTTTTTTTATAAAATTTTTTTTCCTTCTAATGATTCCTGTTGTCCGTTTCTTAATCTATTAACATTGATTAAGTTGCTCGTATGGATTGATTAATTCCTGCAAATTCTCGTTGTTGTCTCTCAGTCGGTCAAAAAGATCATAGCTTTGCCCGTTTTCTTTATTGCTTTGCTCACTCTTGCATCCTTTCCTTGCCCTGATCTCTTTAAGTCTGATCATTTAAGCAGTACCCAGTTCACCCCCCTTTCTGCTTCTGCTTCGCACTACACTACCCAACTGGGACGACTAGCACTACTGTTCTACTAACCCACCTCACTAAATTTCCTCCTCCTCCTCCTACTTGTATTTTTGTCCCTGTCATTATGTTTTTTCAATTCTTTGACCAAATCTCCATCGTAAATGGCAAATGCTTTTCCATTGTAAAGTAAATATGATACATCCTATGTCTACTAGTCTCCAAGAATCATCTGTTCAACAATGCCATCAACACTTATGGGATTAATACCTTGCTTTATTCCCGCATGGCGCGTGCCATCATCCTCGTGCTTGTTTTGTATCTAATCAAATTGTCATTCACAGAGATATGTACACGAATGTAATTTCTTTTAGAATATAAATATTTGAATGATGATAAGCATGGAACTTGGACGTTGTTGGACCCCAAATTTGACGTGCTTTTGTCCAGTATACGTAATTTATTGCTCACACTCCTATTTGATGAAACGATCAGACAAATCACAAGCATATTCTTGAGTCAAAAATTTTGTAAATAATGGTATGCAGCCTTTAAACACTTTATCATATGTATCAGATCAGCATAATACATCCAGACAGATCTTTGTATTGTGCCTCTCACCCGTAGTTGCGCTTCTGGCCTTAACAAGATTTAACCCTGGCTAGGATGGATATCTTTTTTTTTTTTTTTTCTTGGTTTTTATTAAGAAATTGCAGAGGAGGAAGCGTAGACAGATCAAACAGATACCGAATTGAATAATTCTCAATCTAATGTCATTACTCTAAGATGTCATAACATGTTGGTAGCTGAGATTATGGGCTATTTTCACTGGAACAAAAAGCTCTTAATACCTTGATGACGTTGTGGTAGAATATTGGTTTTATGCTTCTTTGTCACTCCTAGTTTCCTTGTGTGTTGTTTGGTGGCTGTAGAATTTGAGTGGTACAAAATTAGCCAGAGTGAAAGATGAATAAATAAGTTTCCTGGTGTTAAAATATTTTTTTGGACTTTCTTAACTCTTATGACTGGGTAGATTGCAGAAAATGAAAATATTTATAGGAGCTAATTAGTTAGTGTCAAACTAATGGATGCAGTTTTCTTAATGGATATCTCATTGATTAATGATTCCGTTGTTGTTTTTTCTTTGTTACCATGATTGCTGTAAATACTGCTTTTTATGAGGCTGAAAAATGGTGAAAATACATTTACTTTCCTCCTTGTTGCAGTATGTCTTCCTAAGACATTAATACATTACTATTATATGCATCAACAGCAGTTATTTCCATTTATGACTTTGATTAGTGACCTTAACCTCTAGATGAGCAACTAGGATATATGAACTTGTCAAGATAGAATATGTAATTGTAACGTTTCTGCTACTGGGGCACTGGAAAAGATAACTTTGTATTGGAAGTTGAGTAATGACAAGAATAGACTTTCTTGCAAAAGTTATTCAGGTAGCTTCTCATATATCAACTCTGGATATTTTCTCTGATATTGCAATTATTCATCTTGTCTGCAGGAATTGGGGTTTCTTCTGAAATGATCTTTACAAGTGCTATCTTTGGTTATGAATTTTATGATCTAATTTGCATTCAACAGTTTCCGCAATGCAATTAGTGTCAAATGACAGTCGGGCAGAGGATATTTTGGAAACAGAGCCGATTTTATCTCAGTCCGCTACTGCCAAGAGATCTGAGGAGTCTTCATCTTCAATTGAAATGTTGTTGGACCCCAAATTTGACGTGCTTTTGTCCAGTATACGTAATTTATTGCTCACACTCCTATTTGATGAAACGATCAGACAAATCACAAGCATATTCTTGAGTCAAAAATTTTGTAAATAATGGTATGCAGCCTTTAAACACTTTATCATATGTATCAGATCAGCATAATACATCCAGACAGATCTTTGTATTGTGCCTCTCACCCGTAGTTGCGCTTCTGGCCTTAACAAGATTTAACCCTGGCTAGGATGGATATCTTTTTTTTTTTTTTTTCTCTTGGTTTTTATTAAGAAATTGCAGAGGAGGAAGCGTAGACAGATCAAACAGATACCGAATTGAATAATTCTCAATCTAATGTCATTACTCTAAGATGTCATAACATGTTGGTAGCTGAGATTATGGGCTATTTTCACTGGAACAAAAAGCTCTTAATACCTTGATGACGTTGTGGTAGAATATTGGTTTTATGCTTCTTTGTCACTCCTAGTTTCCTTGTGTGTTGTTTGGTGGCTGTAGAATTTGAGTGGTACAAAATTAGCCAGAGTGAAAGATGAATAAATAAGTTTCCTGGTGTTAAAATATTTTTTTGGACTTTCTTAACTCTTATGACTGGGTAGATTGCAGAAAATGAAAATATTTATAGGAGCTAATTAGTTAGTGTCAAACTAATGGATGCAGTTTTCTTAATGGATATCTCATTGATTAATGATTCCGTTGTTGTTTTTTCTTTGTTACCATGATTGCTGTAAATACTGCTTTTTATGAGGCTGAAAAATGGTGAAAATACATTTACTTTCCTCCTTGTTGCAGTATGTCTTCCTAAGACATTAATACATTACTATTATATGCATCAACAGCAGTTATTTCCATTTATGACTTTGATTAGTGACCTTAACCTCTAGATGAGCAACTAGGATATATGAACTTGTCAAGATAGAATATGTAATTGTAACGTTTCTGCTACTGGGGCACTGGAAAAGATAACTTTGTATTGGAAGTTGAGTAATGACAAGAATAGACTTTCTTGCAAAAGTTATTCAGGTAGCTTCTCATATATCAACTCTGGATATTTTCTCCTGATATTGCAATTATTCATCTTGTCTGCAGGAATTGGGGTTTCTTCTGAAATGATCTTTACAAGTGCTATCTTTGGTTATGAATTTTATGATCTAATTTGCATTCAACAGTTTCCGCAATGCAATTAGTGTCAAATGACAGTCGGGCAGAGGATATTTTGGAAACAGAGCCGATTTTATCTCAGTCCGCTACTGCCAAGAGATCTGAGGAGTCTTCATCTTCAATTGAAATCACTGTCAGCGGAGAATTTTCTCTAACAGTCGATGATTCACCAAGTGGTGATGCAGATGAAAACTGTTCTTTAGTACATGCAGACCAACCACTTTGCCGTATATGTCTTGATACTGGAGGTGTCTGTATTTATACCTCAATGTTCCTTTTGCCTTGTTGGGTGCATTTACCTATCATGCTGATGCATTTACCTTTCTAATCACCAATAGGTGTATATGGCAAAATGACTGAGGACTATTTTCTTTGATTAATTAGAGATACACATTTAGATGTTCTGGTTTTACTGAGAATTCAGCATTGATTGTCAGGAGAAGATCTGATTGCGCCATGTCATTGTAAAGGCACACAGAAGCATGTCCACAGATCATGTCTTGATAACTGGAGATCAACAAAGGTGAATTTTGCGTCGTGTTTGCATAATGGTAGTTCGTCCTTTTTGTTAGTCACCTCTGATTGGATAAAGAATTGATGATATTCCTTGTTTCTGCCACATATATGCTAAACTATGTCATACTACAAGTTTGTTAATATTGTGTATTTAAGAGGAAAAATATCTGAAGACTTGTTATCATTTTTAATACTCTACAAACCCAGAGAAAATTTGCATACAGTCACTAAACAAAGTGGACCAGGTGCCGTTTTAGAAATGGCATCTCTTCATGGTGGGATAAACTTGATGATGAAGAGAGATATGTCTATGTTTGTCCTTTTTATAAGGACAAAGTTGTTTGCTCAAGCTTTCCTGATGTTACTGATGCCCTATCTTGTGACTGGATGCCATGCTTACTGGTAAATTTTGAAACAACATTGACTATCCTAAACATAGATCTCGTATAAGTACACGAATCTTTTGTAATGCTCTTTAAATTTAATAAAATCAATGAGTTGTGGAACAATACACTCTTCACTTGCTTCTCCACATTATGCATGGACTTCTAAAAGCCATAAAGAATCTTCTCAAAGTTCATTTATTAACATAACCTGATTGTATTGTTGTTTTACTTAACAAAATTGTTTGGTACTATTCTAAATTTGAGTCATAAATACTATGACTACTGGTTAATTATTTACTCCTGCAGAAGGAAAAAATCTTGTCCATGTTACATATCTAATTAATGGCTGTAACATGCTGTAACTCACTGCTCATCAAAAATCTTGCCCTAGGATGTGACACAACAGCTCATAACATGTTGCTGTAACTCACTGCTCGTCCTGCATTTGTCACCTTGTGGGGGGAGGTAGGGAATGTAACTTCCTAATTAATGGCTTAATTAAATAGTGAAAGCAATAATTAATAAAGGACTCTGCATGGGTGGGTTGGAGGGCAGGGTGGCAACCTCTTGAGCACTAGAGTATCATTCTAAGGAGTTCTGAGATTCAATGCTAATCCTTTTTATCTGGAGATTTTGCACTAAATATTTTGCCTTCCAACATTCAGGAGGGCTTTGCCTTTTCACACTGTACAGAATGCAGGGCAGTGTTCATATTGCGTGCAAATGTTCCACCTGACCGCTGGTGGTTGAGGTTGAAATTCCAGTTCCTTGTTGCTAGGGACCATGCCTTCATTTTTGTTATTGTTCAGCTGGTATGACATGATTTTTATTACCCTCTCTTTTTCCCTTATTTCTTCTTATTATGCTATAAGAGCTGTAATATTCCAAATTGGTCGTCAAATCAGCAATCCATCAATGTGAAACATCCTGAGTAAAGTTTTAACCATACGGACTGAGCCTGGTTTCATATAGTTGACCTCTTCTTCCTCTCTTTTTCTTTTTTTGCTCTTTGGGTCTATATAATCATATACAAATATTTGTCTGCATATGCGACTGTATATTTTGTTTGCATGTGCATGTTAGGTGAATGTATGAAATGTATCTTATATCTTCCCTTCTATCCCAAAATTGTTCATGTTATATTTTTTATATCCTGTAATTTTCATTTGTCAACCAAGAATGAAATCGGATTTAGTAAATTTCTAGTCGGTTTCTTGGAAGCTCCAAGCAAAATCTTGGTGACCTTGTCCATCAAGGGAAAGTTCAGCAACTTAGAGCAACTTGTTCCAAGTTCTTGATCTTACCAACTGGAATCACCATGCTGTATGTAGGATTAAATTAGTAATTTCACCAATCTAATAGAGCCTTTTTATTCTCCTAATCTTGCTACAAGGCATGATATGTTGCCTACTGAATGAATCTTTTAATGGATTAACTAGGTATTATTTAGCTGGTTAAGAGTTACATGAGTAAAGACTAATGGGTTCATAATTGGCTGGATTGAGAGATAAGACTGTAAAGCACCTTGCTCAACTGAAAATGTTGTTCTTGATGCTTAAATTCTCCGAAGATGCTTAATTGCATGCGGGTTTTAAAATTAATTTCCTTATAGTTGCCTTTCTGTTCCAGTTTTTGGGAGTCTATTTGAGGTACTTAATTATGGACTTTCAGCATGCATATATTGAAACTCTGCAGATTGTAGCATTTTTGGGTGTGTTGGTCTACAAATTTTATGGAGAGGAACTGAGGGAAATGTTTGGTTATGAAGAACATCCTTACGGTTTTTATACCATGGCAGGTAAAATCATTCCGCACCTGTGAACATCAACTGTTTTTTAGTTACTACATGCATATGAACACCAAACAGTTCTTGATGTTCCATGCCTTAGTGTAATTGGCATATCAATTTTAAATTGCAAAACTACGAGAACTTTGTGGTTACATTTTATGAACTATTTGCCCATATGACAGGTTTTTTGAATCATGAAGATCATTTTTATCATGTTTTCATTTGTCATCTTCTCCATTCTCTAGCTGACAGAACATTAATTTCAGCTCCTTTGAAGCTGTGAAAGCTTTCACCTGTTATGGTTTAGAAAGAAAATACTTAAACATGATGTTGCATGTTGGCGTCTGATCTGCCCTTGAGGCATGATACTTGCAGCAAGTAGCATGGGGGAAGACCTTGTTTTCCCACCTCTTTTCTCCAACATGTAACCTTGAAGTTGGAAATTGTGCATAATGTACAAGTCTCTGGTTGCTGCGACAAATTTATCTTATGACTTGCTAATAATGCAAAATTGTAGAACTAGTCAGTTTTAGCGGCCCTGGTCATATGGCTCGGGTGAAAAAGAGTTATACAGATCACCTTCCTCGCCTTTTATATTTCTACAAAAGACATTTAAAAGCTGGAAAAAGGATAGAAAAGAAAATGAGCAAAGTGATTTGTTGTTCTTGATAACCTTCTTATTATATTGACTCATGGGCAATGGGATTTCTACCTCGTACTCCATGAGAAAGGTACTACACCACACTAATGCACAAAGTGCATTGAACATTGATTTCAAAAAATCCAACTTCTTGAGTCAGTGTCATATGGTAGAACCCGTTTCAGGTTTCTTCTAATTTCTCTATTGGTAGAAGTGCTCCAATATGCAATGGTATGGGTAGGGGAAGAAGAGTAAATAGATAGAAGGACTAGGACCGCAAATGAAAGAAAGTAGTACTATAGCAGAAATACGAATAACAAACTAGTTTCAGATCATATGGTAGAACCAGTTTCAGGTTTCTTCTAATGACTCTGTTGGTAGAAATGCTCTAATATGCAGTGGTATGGGTAGGGGAAGAAGAGTAAATAGATAGCAGGACTAGGACCTCGCATGAAAGAAACTAGTACTGTAGCAGAAATATGAATAACAAACTTGCTGTTTACCAATGTGATTTTCGTAATTATTCATGTAGTACTTATTCAGTTGTGATCCCAGTTTCCTGAATTTGGTTTGCAAGTGAAGGTCCTTGTTACTAGTTTCCAGATGCACTAGTTGCATGTATATTAGAGAATTAACTTTCCCTTTGGGGTCATTCTTCTGTGATATGTGTGGTTACAAGTCTAATTTTGTTGATTTTTAGACCGTTGGCTGTTATTGCAGAAGTTAAAAGAGAAACTACAGCTCTTTATTTATTTATTTTCCCTCTCTCAATATGGCCTTATTAACACTGTCAGATTATTTACGGTTTGTAATCATCATAGGAATATCTCTTCTTATTTCTTTTAGCAATGAAGAATCTAGGCACATCACCCCTTGTATTCTCATCTTTTATTTCAAGGCTAGTTAGGATTCTGTCCCTTCGTATTACAACAGTAATACATCTTAGCATTTTTCATTTCACTTTGCAGTTTTGGCAGTTGTGTTGGTGGGTTTGCTTTATGGTTTCTTCATAGCTATAATTTGTGGACAGAGGATCAATGAACGCCACTACCATGTACTTGCCAAACAAGAATTGACAAAGGTACTGGATGATTGTTTGATGAAACAATGATCCTAATAAGGAATCCTTCTTTCCCCTTTCTTGGGAACTTTTAAGAGGCCTCGTTATGTTGTAATTTTTTTACATACACAAATGTAGTTTTTTTCTTCCAAACTTAAGTTCAGAGCACTTGTGTTTGACAGTAGGTTTTTCTCACCCTTTCTGTTTTCATATAATTGGTGGGTTAAAGTAGTTCTTTTGTAAAGCATCAAGTTTATGGTGATGAAGTCTGATGTTGTTTTGACAGGAGTACATAGTTGAAGACCGAGAATCCAGTAAAGATGTCCCAGATCTTGATCCCAGCCACATTACCGAGCTAAGAATGTTGGGCCTCTATTAAGGTGAGAATTTGTGCCTGCCTATTGGTTTTGGTAACAGCTTGTAAGATTAGATGTCTATATTGTAGAAGTTAGTAAAATATCCTTTTGTCTTCATTGACGGGCAGAAGGAATTGCGACTAACATGTCTTTCACGGATTAACATAATAACCTTCTGCCTTTTTCAGGTTCCCCATTATTATGGATTCAGAACTTTATAAGCCAGAGGGTTTTGTGGTGGCAGTGGCACATCTGGTCTCTCAGATGCACAAATTACACGTAGCAATCCAACCCCATGTTGAATCGTAATATGTAAATTTTACCTGTCCCCAGGTCCCGTGCTTTTTTTTTTTCCCTAGAAGAAATCTCATTTAATCACAAACATTGTTTCACCATTGGAATTACAAATTGATCATCTTCTTTTATTTCCTTGTTTTGTTGTTAATACAACTGGTGATCACACAAAAGCAATGAGAACATTGTGGAAGGCTTGTAAAGCCCAGTATTTGGGATAATCAGTTTGTTCTTACGTTAAGTTTACAGTGCATGTCTCAGGGTATTTTGAAATATCAGAGTGTGCTTTGATAGAAGATTATTTGGAAAAAATATTAGAATAATTATTGTAGCTCTTTCTGTTTTGTGATATATGTGAGAAAAAAGGTGGTTAGAAAGATAAAAAAGTGATTGAAAAACAATTTGCAATGCAAGGAAAAAAAATTTTCCAGTAAAAATTACTGTAGCTCTATTTTCTAGGTGGTGCTCTTTTTTAGGTACATTGCATTGTTCATTTCTTCGCACCTTTAGCTTATCTAATCATAATTAGTCTGAGTTGAGGAGATTGTGATTGTTTGAGCAAATTTGCTATTTACCTCATTCCCTTCCCTGGAAATGCCCTGAAGAAAGAGCTTAAAAGAAAGGAGGAGGGCTAGCTGTGGTGCAAACTAATCCGCCCCTGCACACTGTTTACTCCTTAGATCAGAGTAAATCAATCCAGACGTAGTGGATTAGCCCCATGTGTAATAATATGTGATCTTTAAATGGATCTACGACAAATTCTGTTTGTTTTTCTGTGCATTTTGGAGCTCCGTCTGGTCTGCTTGTTCTGCTAATCATCCGTACAACGCCTGTTCTGCTCATCACCTGTACAATTGTTGTAGCCTGTGGGGCAACGTTAGCCCCATTAGTCCATGATATAGCTACCAGTGATGTTATAACCTTAAGCTTGAGATTTTAACACACTTCTCGAGAACTTGTAGGCATTTACCTTGTCCAAAATCCAAATTTACGTTTTACCTTGTTCAAACGGACGTTTACTCTTTCCATTCCATACACATCATCACGATTCTGGTTATCTCAAATAGAATGGTTACATGCCTTCATTTGGATGGATGAAAAAGTAAAAGGGGTCGCTCGAGGATGCAAGATAAAAATTTTGTGTGCGATACTGGGAACTTTTTATTAGTGACAAGCAGATAATGTAACAAAATATAGTCAGATCCAATCTGTACATCTAATTCAAACAAAGGATGCAAGAAACCAGTACAAGGTTATAAACTTTGCCGCACATCCAATGCTGTCAAGCCCTAACACCTCTCTAGGATTCAAGTATGATGAGATAATGTAACAAAATATAGTCAGATCCAATCTGTACATCTAATTCAAACAAAGGATGCAAGAAACCAGTACAAGGTTATAAACTTTGCCGCACATCCAATGCTGTCAAGCCCTAACACCTCTCTAGGATTCAAGTATGATGATACAGAAAATAGTTTCTACTGGGCATTGACAATACAAGACAGTAAACTGCAGCAACACAAGTTCATATGTACAAGTTCATGAATAGTCCTTGACGACAAAAGATAAGCCTAAGGCAAGTTGCAAACCGCCACTCTCAGATATTGACAGGTGGATAATTGCCAGCTCTTGACAGCATCTTTACTGTTGGAAAGAACCAGACGTTCAAAAAGTCCACCCGGCTCCCCAAACTCAAACAAAATTATTAGTATATCAACAAACATGACTTAATGTTGCCTTTAATCCAGAACTGAAAAGCAAAATCATTGCGTATTGTGCTTTACCCTTCCTCAACCTCAGAACCAGACGCACGGTTAGATATCTCTATGGCTTCTCTTCTATTAGAATCAGTACAATAGAATCAAGCTGAGTACCACGCAATGTATACCGTCAAAAGCCATTACTGAGATGCCCTACAATTAAACGGACACTAAAGTAAAACACAATAGGAAAGATTAACAGCTCTTCCCACCAAGTGCCTTTTCTAAAGCATAAACAGGATGTGTTTCAACTCTCCAGCAAACCATGAAAAGATTTTGCTTTGAACACGTGCACTTATCTTCCTCTCCCAGTTCATTTCGCAACTACATAAGCTCGCAACATAGGCTCCCACAGTCTCTGCAAACAAAAGGACCCAGAAAGTGGATGAAAAGGATTCTTCGAGTGTGAAAAAAGTAGTGCTGCAATTAATTGACATGCAAACTAAACATAAACAATCATCCGCTCACAATTTGAGCTTAGATTTGAGAATATTATGCCTGTTATGGAACTGCAGTTGTTATTGTGTCAGGTCACAGGGTTCCTTCAGAAAATTCAGACAGGGATAACTGTGAATTGTTTTATCTCTTCATCCACAAAAACTGCAGCTCTCGGCCACAAACACTCAGTAATGCCAACTAAGTAGTAACCCTAGGTAAGTTTGAGGACATAAGCTACTCGTTTGTTCCAAACATAAAGGAGACAAAGTGATACATATCATACATTGCATACCAAAGAAGGTAAACTTATGGGGCATACAAGAAATTGTTTTTTAGTGCAACATCATTTACATTTTTCTATGTCACAGTTGATCAGTAAAAACCTTTTCAAAATCAGGAGAACTAAGGTAAAAGAAAGCCAATGGGAATAAATAAGAAGGAAAAAAAGGAACAATTTAGCCTGCAGCGCATGCGTCAGATCAAACGAACACATCAAATTGAATCAGACAGGGATAACTGTTAGTGTAGGTTCTCATCATTCACGATAAGCACTGCAGAGTTCATAATTGGCCAACTTGACAACACATGATAGACCCCAGAACCAAGCCTTGAAGAAAATTCAGAAAAAAATACGCGCAGGAGAGTTTAATAAAAAAGATTCAGGCATGACGCAGGGATGACAGGAAATGAGAAAATTGGGGGAAAGGGTGGGGAGGAGCCGATGCCTCAGACCGTCCTAGTACAAAACAATATCAACAGTATTGTAGCAAATACTATAACTAGCATTTCAGATTCAACCTTTAACAGTCATCATTGGCGGGCTCAACAACTAATAATACAATACCGAAATAGTTGTACAGGTACAAGAGACAATACTCACAGAAACAGGAAAACCAAACATACGACGGATCAATAAATAGCAGACATGGGGTAGCGGAAAATAGCAGGTTTAACGTTGATAAAGGGAATAAGCTCCCCAAGCATTGATTTTCAGAAATCTAAGCTCAGAGCAGAGCAGAAAATTCACATAACGTAGGTCGTTATATCACAAGTCAATGGGGAGAGAGGGACATCAGATCTTCCTATTCAGAGAAGAATCACGAAACCCAAAAATATTTCGGGCATTCAACTCAATAAAGAACATCATTTGGCCTCTTAGTCTACATACAAAGAGTTGGGGGGGGGTGATGAACGCTGGGAAAATCATTAACTCATCCGGGGGGGGAAAATTCAATACAGCTCTATCTAATAAGCATTGAAAAGAAAATGCCAACGTAGAACCGTTCGAAAAAAGGGAAGTTGGGGGGGGAGAAAGAAGAAAGAAGATGGTGGAGTTGGTAGAAGGCAAAAATGCCTTGGGGCCGGCGGTTGAAGGTAGAAAGCGGAGGAAGGGCAACCGCGAGAGGTGGCGAAGGGCATAACCTGGTCGTCGGAGAGGGAATTGGAGAGGTTGTGGAGGAGAAGGGCGAGGGCGTAGTGGCGCGGCGCATGGGATTGAGGGGGGGAGGATCCAGTAGGAGGCATCGGGGAGCCAAAGGGAGGCAGAACGCTGGACGATGATGGCGACGAGCAGCCAGGGGGGGGGGCGGGGGGGGGGGGGGGGGGGGGGGGGGGGCGGGCGGGGGGGGGGGGGCGTTGGGGATCGGAGAGGTGAGGGGGAGGAGCGGCGGGTTTGGTGGTTGGAATTAGTATTAGGGTTTGAGAGAGGGAGGCGGGCAATAGCAGTTTTAAACTCATTTTATTTATTTATCGGAGTAAAAGAACAAGAAATGTGTAGGAGAAGTAAATTGTTCGGACTAAAAAAGAGAAAAGAAAAAAGAAAAGATGTAATGTAGGGATGGAGAAAAGGGAAGTGATTCCAGTGTTTAGAGGGAGAGTAGTCTAGTGACTGCTGACCCCTCTCTCTCTCTCTCTCTCTGGCATTATATGTGTAATGTGTGTGTATATATAGAGAGAGAAAGGGGAAGAGAGGCTGGGCGGGGGGTTCAACAGTATGTTCTTTGGCAGCCGCCTTCTTCTTCTTCTTCGGTTAGGGCTGACCTGGAGGCCTCTTCCCACTCCACACTCTTTCATTTTTTTTTCCTTCCTTTTTCAAAAGAAACCTCACACTTAAACTTTTGACAAAATGAATTAATGTAAATGGAACTTCAACTTTAAATTCATATTAACATTGTATAACCGCTAGTGTGTGAACTGTCAATCTAAAAAATTTTAATCCATTATAAAATGTGGATGCATTCTTAATTCCTTTTTTTTCCCAATTTGGAAACAAAGTTTAAGATTGCTAATCCATATGGTTGAATCCTATGCTATTTGCTCATATTATTATATTCTTTGCTTTTGGTATACAACCAAGTAGTATTTTGATTACTTTCTATATTATTATTATTATTATTATTGCTCAAATGTTGTTAACAAGTATATGGAAGGTAATGTTAATTTAAGGTCCGTTTGATAAACTGAATCTGAATTTTGAAATCTGATTATTGAAAAAATTAATTTGTTGAATTTTAAGTACTGAAAAGAAATATATAAATGTCTGAATTTTAATATTGAAACTATTTATATTGTTTGATAAACATTTGTCATTGAATGCTTAATAAGTTAAATTGTACAATTTTGCCCTTATATCTTTTCATCCAAAAAAGAAATAGAACCTATGATTTAATTAGTTTAAAATTGTTAGATAGGAAAATGACAATGTTTATTTTTAAATCAAATTAATATAAAAGATGAAATATATTATATGAGAAGTACGGAGAAAATGTGAAAGTCAGAGAAGTAAAAAATCGTTAGATAGAGAATATCAGATTGTTTAATTAGATAATAATTTTGAATAGAGAATATTAGGTTATTTAATTAGACAAGAATTTTGAACATAATTAACAAATGATGGTAGATATGGTAAATAAGATAAGGTAGTTGAAGTAATTCTGTTGATTCTTATCAGAATTAAGCATTCAGTTAAGATTCTTGTACTAAAAAATTACAAACAAGTTAAGCAAATAAATTTTTATTTATCAAACACCCAAAACATCGAAATATCTAAAAAAATTCAATTCAAGCATTTTTTAT